CATTGATGCAAAGGGATCCGGAAGGGAGGTTGAAACCCAAGGCTGAACAGGGTATAGGGTTACAGCCTGTGGTGGACGGGGTCGCACTCCCCTTGAAGGCACAGGTTTGCAGCTTGGGTGTGACCCTGGATTCATCATTGAGCCNAATCTTAAGGGCTCTGGAAACATGGAGACATTTATTAGAGGGAAGCGGCATACCTTTCGAGGTGTGGACCGATCATAAAAACTTGCAATACCTCACTTCACCCAGGCAGTTGTCAGCAAAGCGTCCTGTGTCTTTTCTGGGAGCGGCTGCTGTGAGTTTACACTAGTCTTGCCTTCTTTTTTTTTCTTTGCCATTCCTGTTTCCAGGTGTCAATGCTTTTTTGTCCCCTTTTCTTCCTCCTTGTTTACCCTCTTCTGATTCTTTCATTAAATTTTCATAGAAGACTTTGGCTTTTTGTTCCGACATCAACCAGTATCTCTCTTCTTTACATGTCACCATGATGCCTTCTATTCTTTCCCATCTAACTCTGATTGATCTTTTCTTTAATACATCATTAAGGAAGTAGTACTTTCTTCTTCTGTTTAATGTTGCTTGAGGGTATTCCTTTAAAACCGCGATCTTGATTTCTTTATAGTAAACTGGGTTCTTGTTACTTCATCTCTCGTATAAAACTTCATCTCTCGTTTTTTTCCTCGTGAACTGGACTATTACGTCTCTTGCTGTTTTATTTTTCCTTGAATAAAATGAGGATATTCTGTAAATTTGGTCCAATTCCTGCTCTAGTTCATCTTCTTCACACTCCAAAACATTTCGCAATTAAGGTTTGTATAATTTGGCCAATATCCTCCTGTTTTTCTTCTTGAATATTTCTAAATCTTAAATGATAATCCATTTGCCTCTGTAGTAGTTTTTCTTGTTCTACCACCAACCTTTCTTTTTGTTTATCTAACCCTTTAATCTTCTTCAAAATCTGAGATTGTGTTTCTTCTGTTTTTTCTTTACTAATTTTCAATTCTTTTACCTCTCCATATAACTGAATTATATCTTTTTTAATTTGACCAAATTCTTCTTGTATCTCTTTTTTCATTTCTTTAAACTCTTCAGTCATCTTTTTATAATTCTTTTCTTGCTTGTTAAAATATTTTTCTTGTTTGTCCACAATCTCTTTCTTTATTGTGTCTTGTTTTTCCGCCATCTCTTTCTTTATTGTTTCTTGTTTTTCCGATAATTTCTTTATTTCTTTTAAAATATTCTCCATACTGAGGCTGGTATCCAACGAAGCTCTCCTTAGTTGAATTTTTCCTTTATCTGGTTTCCCTTTCTGTGACATCTACCTCTTAATACAATCTATTGGCTTAAATATATATTTTATAAACTCCACTTCAAAAGGCCCCGTCCTAATCCTTGGTCTTCTTTCTTCAGTTTATATTTGCACAGAGCAATTAATTTTAGTTAGATTTGATCAATTTTAATTAATTCTATCTGATTAATATTATTTATCAATTAATTTTTCAAAGTGACTGTTCAATTCAATATATATATATATATATATATATATATATATAATTTAATTCAATTAAATTTATTAACCTTAAATTCATTAAATTCAAATCTAATTCATTAAATCCAATTTAAATTAATTAGGTAGTTTATTAAGCCTAATTTTGAAATTTCCCTAATTGTCTTCTTCTCGCCTTGGGTTCGTCTGCTTCTTTTCCTTGTAATCTGCCTCCGCTTATCTCTGATGTTTACGTCTGCTTCTCATCCTGGAATCTCGTCTGCTTCTCGTCCTCGAATTACGTCTGCTTCTCGTCCTGGCTGCCCCCGTCCTCGTCTACTTCTCGTCCTGGAGTATTCAATTTTATTGCTGCAATATTCGCTGCTCCGCTGCTCTGTATCGTTGTTTCTCTATGATTCTTTCTTCCTCCTTTCTGCTTCTGCCCTTCCCTGAGTTTACTTCCGCCCTTACCTCTTGAACCCTCCTCTTCCTTTCGTCACCCTTCCTCTCCGTCACTTCTTCTTTGTCACTTCCTGCCTTCTCCTTTCCCCCCTTTGTTTATAAAGAAGGATGCCTGCTAGCCACAACAATATGGTGTCAAGGTCAGGAATTATTTCTTCTTTAATTCTTTAATGGTCGCTAGGGGGGTGGGAAGGGAGGTAAGCCCCGGCAGTATGCGGTATGCTGTTGTATTAATCTGTTAATTTTTAACTTCCCTTATTCCCTGATTATTTCCCAAATATTTAAAATATCCAAACAGCAAATATAGAATATAGTTTCCCCGACTTAATTAATTAATCCAATTTGAATCTTCCTTTCCGGGTCTCAAAAAGTAATATTTCTAAATTTAAAGAGGGATCTATGTCCCCTTTCTTTTGTCTCCTTATTTTCTTCTTCTTCCACTCTCCTGCTTATATCTTGTTTTTTGGGAGTTAATACTTCTTTTTATCTGATGGTGAGATCTTCTTCGTTTTCTCCTTAGAGATTCTTATATTTCTTTCTTTGTTATTGTTACATGGGCTGGCGACGGTTAAAACAGGCTAGCTAGCCCGATCCCAGCGAGGTGTCTGATCTCCCGTCGGCTCGGACCCTCTTGACCCCCCTCCTTGAGGGAAGGGAGTTCTTGGGGTCTACGAGCCTCCCACGGGTTTCTCTACACCTTCACCCTCAATCTGGCAAAGGTGGGGGAGCACTGGCTCACCCTTAGGACACCTCTACGCTGGTCCGCGTCGGAGCTCCCTCTCAACGCGGCTTGCCCATCGCCATCACCCACCGGAAGTTATAAACAACTCTTAATAAAAGATAATAATGAATGGCGAAATGAGGAAATAGGATGGTTTCACTACTTACAGGCTAAAGAATATTTTAAGGAAGACTGTAAAGTAGGCTTCAACGACGACACTTGTTGGGACATTATAATGAGAAAAGAGAAAAAAGTGATTAAAATATTATATCAGAGCCTTCTTGAGTGGAGCAATGAAAAAGACTTAGTAAAGGAAAATATGACCAAATGGGCGAGAGATATAGGTCGCTCCATATTGCTTAAAGAATGGGAACAAGTTTGGAAAGATAAAATAAAAATCACAAGAGCTACCCCCATAATAGAGAACTGTTATAAAGTATTTTACCGGCATCTAACGCCAGTCCAACCAGCCAAATTCAATAGAAAACACAATTTATGTTGGAAATGCAAGAAAGAAGCAGGAACATACTACCATCTATTCTGGAGTTGTAAGGAGATTCAAAAGTTCTGGTCACTGGTCCACAAACACATATGAAACATAATAAAAATGAAATTTGACATGAAACCAGAGTATTATTTGCTGAATATAACAAACCTTGTCATACAGTTCTGAAAGTGAATAAGAGCAGTCAGAGTGGGCTTGATCTCTACCAGTAGTCCCAATTAGAATATAAAAAATGAATCAGTGGCAATTGCATGTGTTGACTCACAACCATTACATTAATTGTTAAATGGTATTCTAACCAGGATTACGATAGGGTCTAGGCCCTTTGATCAGAATCAAATTACTTTGGTGTTGGCATTCAGCCATGTATGCGTAAGAGATTGATCCTGCTCAGAACCAAGAGTGTCTATCTCCAACAATGGAGTAGAAGATATCAGTGACTTAAGATTGAACAAAATGGTACAAAGACAACTGACAATCTAATCTTTTTTCTTCTTTTGAGGAATTCTAAGAGTCAATGGCAAGGATGTGGGTGCCTTAAGAGGAAAAGAAAAGACCTGTCAGTCTCAGAAGACACTAAGGAAAGCAGATGTCCTGGGAAACAGCATTTTGGCTGATAGACTTGAAGACATAGCAGCAGCAACAAAAAACAATCAGTTCAGTTGGGGCATCACTGTAACCACACCAAAGGACATTCTAGATCAGTGTTCCTCAAGCTGTGCTCCTCTGGGTGTTTTGGTCTTCAGCTCCCAGAAATCCCAGCCAGCTTACCAGGTGTTAGGAATTGTGGGATCTGAAGTCCAAAACATCTGGAGAAGCACAGTTTGAGAATCTCTGTCCTAGATTTATTAATAACTCCTTACTCCAAACGACCAGGCATTAGTAACATGATAAACAGAGCTGGATTCAAGCAAAGCAATATCTGCACGATTAAGAGTTGACAGTGTCAGTAGGAGTCAACTATATGTCCTCCTCCTAAGGAGAGAAACAAGACCTACACTTCACAGTGGAGGGTTACTTCCACAAGCAGAATAATTGTGGAAATGAGCCTACTTCAGAGCCAGACACCTGGAAGAAGGCAAGAAAAATATCCTGAGGCATGAAGAAAACCAATAATTAAACAGATGGCAAAATTCACATGAAGAATAAGAATAAAAACAAAACATTAGCCAAATTGCTAGCCTAGCTCTAGAAATTTCTAAAGGAGGATACATATCTGTAGAAGTGTTGTGTGTGTGGCTGCACAGGGGCAATGAAGAAAATGTGGAAGTTATAAAGGAACAGAAGAAATAAGCATTTATATTTATTACAAATACACAATTTTAGGAAATTATGAATGCATATTATGGATGCATATCATGACTATAATATTATTGAAGTTACAAGGAAGAGCTTGGTATACTGATAGATGGATGTCATCCAGATATACTGTCAAATAAAATTTACATTATGTTATAATGATATCAAAGAGATAGCGCTGTTGAATATTAAGATAGCCAATTAAATTGCTGCCTTCAAATTTTAGTTTCCTTCTGAAACAGAAAGCAGAGAAAAGTTGACTAGAACTGCTTCAGTAATAGTCTCACCTGCAATTATATAACAAAATGATATATAACTGCAGTTATAGTTTTAACACCTGAAGGTTGTTTGTTGTCCAATGTGACTAAAACAAGCCTTAGTGAGTCAAAACTGCATGCTTGGCAGGAGGAGGAGGAGCAGGAGGAGGAGCAGGAGGAGGGGGGGTGGGCAAGAATCTGGCAGCTCCTTTAGGTCTTATCTGGAAAGAATGGATTCAAAGCAAGGAATAAGCATTGTGATGGTTACTTACCTCAAACTGAATTAAGATTGTTCCACTTTCTAGCCCTTTCTTCAGTCGTTCCATTGATTCTTCTAGGGTCTGACCATATTCTGAACAGGCAGGAGGAATTGTTTCTGGGAAGTTAAAGCTATCAGTTTCATCCTCTGACTTGTTATCAATAAATGGTTTGATGACTGAAACACACAGAGGCAAAATCAGATCCCCATAATTTTTCAAGTATTTAAATGTTTTCAACAACATGTACATAAAAATAAATGGATATTTAAAAAGTTGTTTGCTACAACTATTGCTCTTGAACAATGATCTACACATAATGGAAATTTACCGAGAGGTGATTTTTGTGGGCTGTGGCGATAGGATGCAAGTGAGTATAATCAGAGATGGCTCAGCTGGATTGTTTATTCTTCCTGGCAACCCTTGCAATTTGCATGGATTTTGGGAAGCAGCAAGAAACAATTGGAAAATGAGACCATTGGTTGGTGAATTTGTCTGAAGGCTTCACTCTGGTTGAGAGCTACACTAAATAAGCAGTCAGCTAATTTCAGCCATCTGTAGGAGCCCTCTTTTTTGTTCTTTTAATGTGTTATGCAACATGCATTTTCTGCACTTTGTCACAACATTGGTTGGCAGTTTGGACATGAGATCTGAATTCAGGTAGAAAGAGTTAGGACTTGCACACCCATCAGAAAAGTAAAGAGGTGTCCTTGGGGGACTTTGGGAGTGTGGGCAGCAAAGATCACTCAGTACTGCCTGGCTTTATCCCACTCCAACCTGGTAGGGGAACAGGAACATCTGCCCATGTCCCTCATTCCAAATGCATGCCTAGCATTTTGGTGGTTTAGTCAGCTTATCAGAGATATTTAGCAGAGATATTTAGTCAGTACCTGGATAAAGAGCAATGTAGGTGTCAGCCTCTCTGCAGCTGTAAACAATACAATTCATGGTCTGTTTTTATTCCAGCCTTAACTGTCTATATGTGGTCATTTGGAAACAGAGCATCATGTGCTGTTGAGTCAAAAATTATAGATCCCAGATACACTATTATGGAACCTTTGGGGCAGATAATAGAATGGAAACTTTGGGACAGATAATGAAAAATTGGATTTCACCAGTGTTGGGGAAACATGAAGAAAAGATCCCTAAACAAAGATTAGTTCTTGATGAAAAATCCTGGCTTTTTAAGATCCTGCATCAAGGAAATGTAGTGTCAGCTACACCACTTCCATGACCCCAAATCTTACAGCTTTACAGCAGAGGCAACTGAGGATCATCTGGTTATGTTCAAATAGCTGGATATACAATGTTTACCGACACTTCATTCTCTGGGACCTCTGAAGGACCCTTTTTGGAGAGGTGGTTCAGAGAGGATGCCTATATTTTGCGCATTCTGTTAATCGGAACACATTTGGACTTTCTGTGGTTACCCCAAACCCACTACTGACTTGTACTGACTACTCTCTGACTATGTCTTGGTAGCTAGGTGCACAATTATGTAGGAATGCCTGGAAGATCTCTAAAAGTTCCAGAGAGTGTTATATGATCCCCCGTTTCCCCCATCCATTCTCAGACTCTACAAGGCACAGTGAAATAGTCAATTTTTGTAGCGGGGAGACAAATAAATTGGAAACCTATTTTCTGTCTGCTTTGACAATGACTTCCAAAATGCAGAGTTTCCAAATATGTTTTTACAGCAGAGACAAAACTGAATAAATTATTGTTCATTCCACAGGACAAAATTATGTAAAAATGACTTCTCAGTATTATGACACCTAGCACCACCATCCCAGAGGGGTGGCCAACAGCTCCATTCCCCCTCACCATCCACCTGCTGCCATGGCCACCCAGACATTCTTCAATACTAAATCCCCACAGATTTACTTACCTTTCCGCCTGACCAGTAGCACAAGCTCTCTTGTGTGTGATTCTCTGCTTGCTTTTATAAACATTACTACTTGGTCGTGGGTATGCTCCGAGATGTCCCGGCCATTGATTAATACTATCTGATCACCTTCAAGTAATTTTGGAGTGCATTTATCAGACTGCCATAAAACAAAAGAAAATGGTGTCAGTGTTATCAAACCTCTAAGAGAGAAAATGCACTTTCAATTCAATCTGGAAGAATTAAACATTAGTTAACAGTGCTATCCTTTTCCTGAGAGCCACTCTTTTTAAATCATGAAATGACTAAAGAGCTGCTGTACTGTTGATTAAGTTTCTAAATTAAGACACAATAAATAATTTGAAGCTTAAACTTCCATCACCAGTTACTCATGTTATTCAGCTAAGAACAAAAATGTTCAGTTGAACAATTCAATATAAATAAAATTTGATTATCCAGATTTTCCCCCTAGCAACACAAAAAGGAAGTTCTAAAAGCAATACTTACTGGAGAACCTGGCATTATTCTGGACACAATAAGAGGCATCTTCTGATCAATACCACCCTAAAACATTATACCAAAAATAGTTAATATCAACACACTGAGGTTGCAACCATTATACTCATTGATGTTGCAGCAAGCCCCATTGACGGGAATATCAATAAATTATTTGTGAACAGGCATGCCTTCTAATTGGGAGGAAAGACATAATAAGAGCTAAGCGTCATTTCAACAAAGGCTGATATATTAAGAGGTATGGTCTGTGTTTATAAACTGGGTACTTGCAGACTTTATTTTAAAAACACTGCATTTGATTTGCTCTGGATTACTTTAGTTAAAAAATATCTAGGAAGAGGAGCCAATATATAGATAAAAAATTCTTACTAGACTCAGTTTATGAATGTTGATGCTACAAACCTGTCAGCCTCAGAGATGCTACAATATCCCCTCTCATACTGATACAGATTAATATAGTTATGCCTCTAAATGATAGAAAATACTAGGTATTAATCAGCTGCCTGGTTAAATGTGTACAGTTTATAACTAGGGCCTTTAACAAATGTGGAAAGACAATAACTGGGCAAATCACTGTTTCAAATAGTTTGGGGGAACAAAACAGGGAAAAAATTGGAAAAAAAATTGCTAAAAGAAAATAAACATTTTAACAGATTTTGAATAATGACTCTAACCTACAATGAAGGTTGAATGAAATTTCAGCATTCCTGCACAGGCAAAACATCTGAAGAATTTTAAGGTAATTTTAAGGTAAGACTAGTAAAATCTGTCATGATTTATTCATTCCTAATTTTATTATTTCCCCCCTCTGTTAAGTTAACAATTGTGATGAACAGTTGTTATATTCATTATTTACTGCACTGATATAATTCATAGTAACTGGGCAGTAAAAAATGTAGTAGCCAACCACATGAGCTGCTGATACTTTGCCAAAAAAAGTATATGTTGACAAAAACTGCATTTCTGAATTTCTCTACCTAATGTTCCCCATGCTCAAGCTACAATATATCATCAAGATCATGAGGAGCCCCCGGTGGTGCAGTGGGTTAAACCCCTGTGCTGGCAGGACTGAAGACCAACAGGTCACAGGTTCGAATCTGGAGAGAGGCGGATGAGCTCCCTCTATCAGCTCCAGCTCCCCATGCGGGGACATGAGAGAAGCCTCCCACAAGGATGACAAAAACATCAAATCATCCAGGCGTTCCCTGGGCAACATCCTTGCAGATGGCCAATTCTCTCACACCAGAAGCGACTTGAAGTTTCTCAAGCCACTCCTGACACAACAACAACAACAAAAAATATCAAGATCATTATATCAGAGATGTTTTACCTTTAGATTAAACCCAAATTTCCCGTCTTCATCTGGCAAGATGTGTACCAAAAGTAAGTCTCCATCAATAATATCATTCTGGAAAATATGGAAATAATCACTTAGATGTTTATAACATATTAAATTGTATGATATGTGATGTTATTTTATGTGATGTGTTTAATAATGTTTAATTTTTTATCAGGGGAGGGTCAATTTTCATGTTTTCTCAATGGTATTGAATTGTTGCCAACACTATCAACCACCTTGATTCCCCTTCGGAGTTGAGAAGAATGGCATGCAAATATGGCAAATAAACAATAAATAATAAATGCTATATCTCTGGGCTAATTCAAATGATCTTATGCTTGTATGTGGCTGAGACCACCCTTATAGCTACTGAGAATCCACATGTCAGGATTGGATTTTTACTGTACATATACAGTATCTGTATTAAGGATGAGTATATCTTCAGTTATGATGAGCTGCAAAAAAACCCTCTTATCATTATAAGATGCAAAGTTTTGGTGCTTTATAAAAAATAACACCTATCGAATTAATATCCCAAGTCTGACATTCTTTATCTCTCATTTGAAATTCACAGTTGTACCGAGTATCAAATCTATATAAATAAAAATAAATTAGCTAGAGATAGAAACCTACCTTAGAAACCTTTTAAAAGAATCTCAAGACCTGGCTCTGCCATTGCACTTTTGGAGAGTAGTCACATAATCTTAAGCTATTGATCCCCTCAATATTCTTGTCCTAGGAGTACACACCCTCCCCCCTTGTACGAAGGTCTGTCTATCACCTTGTCTCTCTATGAGTTCTCCCTTGCAAATAATTTTGCTCCTTTATCTCACCCTGAGTTTTTAAATCATTTTATGTACATGCGGCCCGCTCACTGTCATTATGTTTGGTTTACTGCTTTTTTATGTTTTGTATATATTGCTTATTGTATTTATATGTTTTGTACTTTACTGCAATGTTGTTTATTTTATTGTAATTTGTATTTTATTGTATTGTAATTTGTTGTTTGGGCCGCCCCAAGTCCCCGTTAGGGGAGATGGTGGTGGGGTACAAATGAAGTTTATTATTATTATTTATTATAGGTAGGAATATAACAATTCAATAGAATCTTGTTGAAAACTATGCATATACACATTTAAGGAAATCAGTAGACACTACAACTTAGCAACTCTGAAGAAAGGCAGAAGATTTAATAAGAGAAAGAGATTGGGAAGATTTAGTGAAGGAAACACTGAGCAGCATTCCGTTGACACAGATACTAAAAGACAAGGGAGTTATGAATGGATGGGAGTTTCTCAAGAGTGAAATACTCAAGGCACAATTGCAAACAGTGCCAACAAAGAGAAAAAATAGGACAAGTGCAAAGAAGCCAGAATGAATGTCCAAAGAACTTCTAACTGTGCTAAGACACAAAAGAGACATGCACAAGAAGTGGAAAAAGGGAGAAATCACCAAAGAAAAATTCAAACAAATAGCCAACTCCTGTAGGGAAAAGGTCCGCAAGGCTAAAGCACAAAACGAGCTCAGGCTTGTCAGGGACATTAAAAACAATTAAAAGGGCTTCTTTTCTTATGTCAGTAGAAAAAGGAAGAACAAGGAGGCCTCTTCGAGGACCTCTTCGAGGAGAAGTTGGGGCAATGCTGATAGTGGTTGGGGAAAGGCAGAACTACTTAATGCCTTCTTTGCCTCAGTCTTCTCACAAAAAGAAAGTCATCTTCAACCTCAGCAAGATGGAGTGGATGAGGGATTACAGGACATCCAACCCCAAATTGGGAAACAAGTAGTCCAGGAATACCTAGCCACTCTAAATGAGATCAAGTCCCCAGGGCCAGATCAACTACACCCAAGAGTATTGAAGGAACTAGCGGAAGTCATTTCGGAACCATTGGCAATAATCTTTGAGAGTTCTTGGGGAACGAGAGAAGTTCAAGTAGATTGGAGGAGGGCCAATGTGGTCCCAATCTTCAAGAAGGGAAAAAAGGATGTCTCAAACAATTACCACCCGGTCAGCCTCACGTTGATACCAGGCAAGATTCTGGAAAAGATTGTTAAGGAAGTGGTCTGCAAACACTTAGAAACAAATGCGGTCATCGCTAATAGTCAACATGGATTTATCAAAAACAAGTCATGCCAGACTAATCTGATCTCTTTTTTCGATAGAGTTACAAGCTGGGTAGATGTGGGGAATGCTGTGGATGTAGCGTACCTGGATTTCAGTAAGGCCTTCGACAATGTCCCTCATGACCTTCTGGCAAACAAACTAGTCCAATGTGAGCTAGGCAAAACTACGGTTAGGTGGATCTGTAATTGGTTAAATGGACGAACCCAGAGGGTGCTCACCAATGCTTTCTCTTCATCCCGGAAAGAAGTGACAAGTGGAGTGCCGCAGGGTTCCGTCCTGGGCCCGGTCCTGTTCAATATCTTTATTAATGACTTAGATGAAGGGTTAGAAGGCATGATCATCAAGTTTGCAGACAACACCAAATTGGGAGGAATAGCCAATATTCCAGAGGACAGGAGCAGGATTCAAAACGATCTTAACAGATTAGAGAGATGGGCCAAAACTAACAAAATGAAGTTCAACAGTGACAAATGCAAGATATTCCATTTTGGCAGGAAAAACGAAATGCAAAGATACAGAATGGGGGACGCCTGGCTTGAGAGCAGTATGTGTAGAAAAGATCTTGGAGTCCTCGTGGACAAGTTAAACATGAACCAACAATGTGATGTGGCGGCAAAAAAAGCCGATGGGATTTTGGCCTGCATCAATAGGAGCATAGTGTCTAGATCTAGGGAAATAATGCTACCCCTCTATTCCACCTTGGTTAGACCACACCTGGAATATTGTGTCCAATTCTGGGCACCACAATTGAAGAGAGATATTGACAAGCTGGAATGTGTCCAGAAGAGGGCGACTAAAATGATCAAGGGTCTGGAGAACAAGCCCTATGAGGAATGGCTTAAGGAACTGGGCATGTTTAGTCTGAAGAAGGGAAGGCTGAGAGGAGACATGATCGCCAAGTATAAATATGTGAGAGGAAGTCACAGGGAGGAGGGAGCCAGCTTGTTTTCTGCTTCCCTGGAGACCAGGACACGGAACAATAGCTTCAAACTATAAGAAAGGAGATTCCATCTGAACATGAGGAAGAACTTCCTGACTGTGAGAGCCGTTCAGCAGTTGAACTCCCCAGAGTGTGATGGAGGCTCCTTCTTTGGAGGTTTTTAAACAGAGGCTAGATGGCCATCTGTCAGGGGTGCTTTGAATGCAATATTCCTGCTTCTTGGCAGGGGGTTGGACTGGATGGCCCATGAGGTCTCTTCCAACTCTATGATTCTATGAATGAATAAAATGAATAAAAACCCTGAATGCAGGAGAGAACTGCCATCAAATACAGCACTCGTGCATCAACAACCTTGAGATCGCAGTTACATGTCCATTTTAGTTTAACGCTGTGTAACAGTAGATCCTCCCCTGCTTTTGAGCTGTTCAGAGATTTGCCTCAAAATACACTTTGTTCCCATTGTTTCTTTTTCTAGTTCTGTATCATTAAATCAATTTTGTTAGCAAGTATTTTGACTTCCATTTGTGAGTTGAAGGAATGCTCTTTTATAGCCCCAAACTATAGCATCACTAATGTTTAAGAGTTGAAAATGTGGGAAGCATTGGCTTTTGTGAATAGCCAGTAAATAGTCAAATTGTACAGAGACTACCCTTAGTGGCCAGAAAAGAATATGATGTAGCAAAATATTGTCAGCCGAGGCAAAAGTAATTTTGGGGTTTTTTTGGGGTGTGTGTGTGTGCTAAGACAGTAATTCTGTCTGACAAAACCACTAATTCAAAGAGAGATAGAAACAAAGGAAGTATGACGAAATTTTTGCAAAGCCAGGAACTAATCTCCACAGTTAATGACTTTATATCTGTCATGGTTTTTTCCTCACTCAGAACACTATGATGATTTATTTTGAAATGAAAAATCACAAAAATGCAATTATAGTTGGCAGAATGAGTTAAACACTGGGAGATGTGGGGTATCCTTCAAGTCGGATCTGGCCACGGTGGTCCACGCTCTTGTTACATCCCGAATAGATTACTGCAACGCGCTCTGCGTGGGGTTGCCTTTGAAGATTGTTCGGGAACTTCAATTAGTCCAACGGGCGGCGGCCAGATTGCTCACTGGAGCGACATACAGGGAGCATACCACCCCCCTGCTATGTCAGCTCCACTGGCTGCTGATCCAGTTCCGAGCACAATTCAAAGTGCTGGTTTTGACCTACAAAACCCTTTACGGTTCCGGCCCAGCGTACCTGTCCAAATGTATCTCCTTCTACATCCCACCTCGGAGTTTAAGATCTGCTGAGGGGACCCTGCTCTCGGCCCCACCTTTATCACAAGCGAGACTGGTGGGGACGAGGGACAGGGCCTTCTTGGTGGTGGCCCCTCGCCTGTGGAATGCACTCCCCGGGGATATTAGGACATCAACATCCCTCTTCTCCTTCAGGAAGAAGGTAAAAACCTGGATGTGGGACCAGGCCTTCGGGTAGGCTGGCAGATGGACAAAGACAACCAATAATGACCAGAGTAGGAAAGGACAACGACTGGCCTGGTGAAACATGGGCCTCAGTCTCCTCTGGTTGGATTTCCGGCGTCGGGTCGGGCAGAGGAGCAGGCTGCTGAGCCAGCTGGATCGGAGAAGACCTCGAGGAGGAGGTTGCCAATGACCTCTGGGTAATCCTTCTCGATGAGGAAGACCGTGGTTGGGGCCTCTTCTTTGCTGGAGGTCAAGAAGGAGATTGAAGGGATTTTCCCGGGGCTGGAGAAACAGCAGCCGGTGTCGACTGAGCTCGGTGGGATTCCTCATGTGACCTCTTGAAAGCAATCCTCATGACAGAGGTCGAAGGCGGTTCCATCTCGTTGACTGGACTGAGGCTATCGAGCTTGATGTCGAGGGCCGTCTCGCCGGTACCGTCTGCATTGTCACCGTGCAGGGCTGTTTGGTATGGCGAGGCCTTTTCGACGAGGCCGAAGTTGTCGATGGTGGTCTGGTCGACTGGGCTGAAGAGGTCGAAGG